CCTTTGACAGAATTATGAGGCCCCCTGCTGGTTGAGCCGCCCCCAGCACCAGCCTCGCCCCTCCTGCTGTCTGTACCCACATTTACCCCCTGCAAGTCGCTGTTGGGCTCCGGAGGGGGCACCACGGCGTCATTAGTGTTGATGATGGGCACAATGTTCATCCTCAGCAGCTCCTGTAGAGTGCTGTTCAGATTCTGTCTCTTCTGGTCGTCATGGAAATCCAGGTTAGTGACAAGGACCTGGAGAGGACAGAGAGAGGACTGAGGTAAAAAGACAGCAACCACAGCAAATAAAGTTAAATAAGAGAATACCTGAGCAGTGCATGTGCTGTACTGTGTGAACATGGCTTCATATAAAGCCATCAGGCCGCTCTGTCCAGCAGCAGCACAGGCACGGGCCTCTAGAACTGGGAGTGACTAGAATAATGATAAACAGATAGAATAATGATAAACATATGAATAAGCAGAGAGAATTAGAGAGAACACAGCAGCTACTAGTGTTACTGATTTGACATCAGTTGTACACTGGATGCCCTTCCAAGCTAAACCTTTTTCATTGTGGGGGGGTTTTAAATGGCACATAGTACTATGTAACTTTTCTGCTGGAGAGTCTGCCCACTGTTTGCCTTTCCTTGGAGAAATTATTGTTTTGCTTAGATTGTTCCACAAAATGGCATTAAACTTCTTAGTCATCAGAACTGTGGAGTGGTGACCCCACTTACAGTGAAATAAGTTTAAAGCTATAGTGTGAAGCAATAGCATCTCCACTGAGACAAGCAAATGGCCAACCCTCCACTAGAAAAGTTGCACAACGCACTTTCAATCCTTTGTGTCTGAATTAGTACATAAAACAGAGAATGCCAATCTAACAACATTTAAACAATGGAGGGTACAAGGATTAAAGACGAAAGATTCTACATAGCCCAGATGTGCAGGTAAACAATATGTGGGGGGAAATTAATTGTGGTAATCGGCTATACAGGAATAAAACATGTCTGGCAGTAACTTGCGATAACTGTTTGGAATTAGAAATAAATAACTATTTGAAGTTCTTGATCTACTTTTACACAAAGTAGAAGCCCTATGGAATGCTTGTCCTTCCCAAATCGTATATCAGACAGTTCTTTTGATTTCCACAGACCTGTGTGTGTGTGTGTGTTTTACCATGTCTTTGAGCTGGTTGTGTCCCGTGTGCAGAGCCTGCCGCACACTCTGGGAAAGCAGGATTTCATGTCTTAATCTTTGTTTTCCAAAGGCCACGGCTCCACTGGTGACTATCATCATCTCTCGGCCTTGATTCTGCAGCATGGCCACCTGCACAACAATAAAGCATATTATGGCTTTTGTTTCTGCAGTGGGCGGCCAAGCAACACTCAGTCACTGAATCTGTATGATCGGATTACAAATAGATCACTTTAATATAGATATTTGGGACTTTCTTTGAACCATTGCTGCTTTGTAGGCATTTGCAGTTAAGAAACCAGCAAAAATTTGAATAAAGATTTGCCTAATAACTGTCCAGTAATTAATCTTGGGGAAAGTAAAATTGCTATAGTATACTACTAAACAACAACTAAAACTAAAAACTAAACAATTAAAAAGCACATACCTTTCACAATACAATATATGAAAAAATCATAATATGTTATTTTCATTACACACAAAAATGCTCTACCTGTTCCACAATGGAGGCCAGTCTGCCCAGAGCCAGGCCACACTCATCTCCTCGGGTGACCACTGCACTGCCCAACTTCACAACTATCCTTTTGGCTTGACGAAGCTCACTGCGATGAGCAAAGGACGTGCCGTGGGCCCATCCTAAATTGTGATGATTTATTATTATTTTGATGATTACTAAATTGTGATGATTTATTATTATTTATTGTTTTAGTTGCTCCCAAGCTGCACTGTAATCTGTTTCATCTTTATAATTTTATTCTTTGACCTTATGGTTTAAAGGCAAATGCAAAACTACCACATTGATTCATATTTAACACAAACATTTTTACTTGATGATGGATAGTTTAGATTTAGTTTGGATTCCTCTGTGGTTTTAACCAAGGCAAGTGCAGTTATGAGTTTATATAGCTACAACTTAAACTAACTATAACTATAATGCAGGATAATTTAGCTCATTTGACCCAATACTGGACAGGTTAAACACTGTTTTGGTTGAATAACGATGGTTGTGTCTTGTAAAGAAACTCAATATATTGGATCACATCATATACTTTGAAGAGTATGTTGAAAACATTGGCATGGAAAGAAGTTTGTTTTTCGGGTTTTGGTTTCATTGATTACACAACTCCGAAAAACACATAGATGCAGTAGTACACCCATTTGTAACCAGGGAAACAGATAATCGCAGCTTTTAAACTGCCACATCAGCAGGCCAAGCAGCAAAGCTCATGCTGACATTACACATCTCTGTGGAGCAATGAGGCGCATGAGAGCGCAAGAAGAGGAGGCCCACAAAAATACACAGTGGCACCAAAGTGGATAAATTAATGGCCTTGTAGTTTAGAGACAATGTTTGTTACAGGAATAACTGCACAAAAACACAGAAAGAGAAAGAAAAATAAAGGGACAAGGAAAGTTGAGCAAGATAATAAGCAGTAAGAAACATATTACAATGTTATCACTAGTTTATAATATATTATTGATTTTATTTATTTAATAGTCACAACAGATCTTTAGATTAGCAACACTAATGCTTAGTTTATGTAATCTGCAACATCAATCATAATAAAACATTTTGCATAGTACAGTTTATCATAAATGTTCCTAAAACTCAACAAAATTATTGCAACCAGTGAATGCTACATTTGACTGCAATCTCAGTCACATGTCCATATAAACAGATAGGACTAACTATTAATGCAAACTGAAGTTTTATAGACAAAGAAAAATGAGAGGTCTTACCTTGCATTAGAGATCTTTTGAAAAAGCAGCATACTTTTGTTTGCTTTGGGATCTTTGAACACACGGTCAGCCTCTGAAGCAGCATGGTTGATGTAGTTATTTGCTCTAGAAAAGATTTAAGAAACCGACAAGTTAAACCAGAAGAGTAATGTGAGATGTCATGAATCCATTGTGCCATATTTACAAGTGTCCAGGACCAGTAAAAAAAGTGACAAGGGTTAGCAAATAGAAGCAAGCTCTTGCGATGACTGCTGACTCCCAGCCTGATTTATATTGCCCCGTGTCTTTACCTGTCCTTCAAGTCAGATTTTTAAGATGCACAAAGGGCTTTCCTAAATTGATAACAGTTAGGAGAAATCGGGGGAGGGATGGAAATTTGGACTCCTCCCCGAAGCTGCTGATGAAACTGACATCTCAAGTGCAACTAATAGGCATGCTTTTATTTATTTTACCAATTTAAAGACACAACAGATTTTACGCACAAAAAATACTTACTCCTGCGAACACACGGAGACAGTCACCAAAATGTATCTTCACTTGCCACGAAAAACGTCGTAAATTGGCGCTGAAGTGGCAGGATATGACGTAAACCCGAGCGGCAAAATACGGAAAAAAGGCGGAAGTTAGTTGGGTTTTACATTTCAAAATAAAATAATTATTTATACGTATCATGTAACTTTTACATAACATTGACATGACATAATTACACATTTTCCTCATAAAATACATACACTACTTACTTAATAATTCGTTGTAAGGAGAATAAGAATTATTTTCCTCCTGTTTTTCCATCACTCTTTTATAGTGTGTTAAATTGTATTTTTATTAACCTTAACTGTATAAAAATATGATGAATATTCTTGTAAATAATGTAGGCTAGTTTTGGCCATTGTACCTGTGAGTATATAAACAGGTCTACTGTAACCTAAAGCAGAGTTGACACAGCTGGACATCTACTGGCTGCCCCTAGGACCGGAGATAACAAAATTGGTTCCAGAAGCTCCGTCCGAATGTGCCTTATTTCATTATGTCTGCCCTGTTCTTTTCTCTGTTGTTTGTGTTCTCTCTTATCTGGCCCCTCTGTTGTCCTCCTTCATTCTGCTCTTTTATCTATCAACCTGACCCAGCAGCAAGAGCACGCCCTCACTGGTCTTTAGGCACAACTACTACACTGTGACCTTTCTTATTCCTCATACTCTTCTGCAAATCATGGGTGTAGGTTTGCATAATGAACCATGAGGGACATTTTTTAATGTTATGATCCAGGATTTGACAAAGCTCAAACCCTCACTCTTAATGCAATATAAGTTTAAAGTTACACATCTCCATTTTGAAATAGACTTCAGGAGTACCAGAGAATACATTTAGCCCTACAGATAGTCTACTTACTATATGTACAAAACAACAAAATAACAACAAAAATTAGACTTTTTTTTTTTTTACAGTACTGATCTGATTTGAATACACTTCTAAATATTATAAACAAAAACAGTAGATGGCCAGTAATATAGTGGCAGGTTCAGGTACCTGAGAGCCACACAGAGTCCATTAGTGATGGAGGAAACCCCTTGTTCTGATCACGAGCCTTAGGGCTGATGGTATGAACAGAACAAATGGTTAGAAGACATAGATCTATATCTCTGAAAGTCAGAGAACTGGCCTAAGGAAAAAGCACTCACATCCAGGGTGGCACACAGGTATAAATGAGAGAGACAGATGAGGTGCAGCAAACGACCAAACAGAGGTCTTGGGGACAGTAGGTGAGTACACGTACTTATTACTTAAATCTTATTACTTACTTCTATTTTCAAAAATGTTTTGTTACTTGTATTGTAGGATATTTGAGGATATTTGTATTTAATACTTGTCTTTAATATATTTGTTAGTGTAAAAACAAACATGTCATCAATTAGCCTTCAAGCAATCAATCTTCAATCAGTTAGTGCAGTTCAACTATAATGGTGTTTGGATTAAGGAAGACACACAGAGAACTTAACAGGAATGACAGGTTTTTTGTGTTTGGTGTTTCCTATAAAAGAGGTCAGGCAGCACTGCTCAGAAGAGAGACCAAACGAGCTCACACAGAAACATGGGGGAGAGCGGAGTAGCAGCAATGGCAGTGACCTACCAGAAGTTTGACCCTGCAGCCTACCTGCAGTACAACTACATACCACCCAGGGCTGATTTTGAGAGAAAGGACAGCATTGTGCCATGGAAACTGGCATGTCTGCACCGAGCATTCACTGAGGGTAAGAGTTTCAGCAGTAACAAAGTAGTATCCACATTCTGTATTTGTGTACTGAGACTCTGTCCCTCCAGGAGACGTAGGAGGTGATCTTCTGATTGATGTCGGCTCAGGTCCCACACTGTACCAGGTGCTGAGCGGCTGTGAGATCTTCAACAAAGTGCTCCTCACGGACTTTCTGGAGGTCAACAGACAGGTCCTGAAAAAGTGGCTGAAGGGAGAAGGGAGTAGCCTCGACTGGACCCCCTACATGCAATACGTGTGCAAACTGGAAGGACGAAGGTGCAGTTCATGTATTTGGAAGGATTTCACAAACTCCACTTTAGTACATGTTATGATTGCAAAAAAATTTTAAACTTTCAATGTGAAATTGACATGAATATTCATAAACAAAAATGCACTGGTGAATGCTCAATCCTGATTTCTTTTTCTCTTTTTCATGTTAGCCCCACTGAATGGAAAGTGAAGGCGGCCCGCCTGCGTGAGGTGGTGTCTGATGTTCTTCCCATCGATGTGCATCGCGCTCAGCCCATGGCCTCAGATGCCCTCCCATCAGAGGGGGCCGACTGCCTGGTGTCCTGCTTCTGCCTGGAGAGTGTCAGTCCTGATCTGGACACTTTCACCAAGGCCCTGGGACACATCGGGACCCTTCTGCGTCCTGGAGGACACCTGCTGCTCATTGGAGCGCTACAGGAGAGTTATTACTTTGGGGGACCAGGGTTGAAGATCCCGGTGGTCCCCCTGAACGAGGCTCAGGTGTGTGTTGCTCTGCAGGAGCAGGGCTACTCCCTCATACGACTCGAGGTCTACACTCTGCCCCAGGACATGAAGGTGGGTGTGGACGATGTCTGCGGGGTGTTTTTTGTCAAAGCAAAAAAGAATTAAAGAGTTGTCTATGATAATCACAATAACCTTAAATATACTATTAACTTAAATATTACAGTTTATAATCGCTGTGTAGAAATGTACTTCTGTCCCTCTATAATCTCAGATGAAATAAAGGATGACTTTACTCTATTTAAACGGTGCTATATTCTTTGTGTAAACTTAAATGAATTTCCAAATTAAACTAAAGGTTACTTTGGTTATTATGGTACTTTATTGTCCCTGTGTGGAAATGATTCCTTAAGATCACGACAAGCTGGAGGATTTTTGCTGTGCATGTTTGTAGAGTGAGGGTGCAGAATGCAAGATAATTTCATGATAATAACACATAATCTGGTCATTTCATATTATATAAAAGTGTGGTAGGAGTAATGAATAAGATCTTGGATATTGTAAAACATGATGATTGTTCCTTCCAAATAGCTGTCATGTAATGTTATGTCATTACACAGATATGCGGTGAATTTTATTATATTGTATAGCTGTAGTACATGCTCTATATAGAAAGAACAATTGTGAGTGTATACTGCCATCTACAGCTCAAGTAAACAACAGCATTACAGTTTTTTCAATAGTTTTAAAATTTTTTTTTTTTTTTTTTACTTTGATACACATTTGATTCAAACATGTATCAGAACAGGGACAAATCATTTGGAACATCTGTCATCAGTTCACACAGTTTTCGGGTTCTTCTCTGTCAATAATCAATATAGAAACCCATTTCACTCATTTGTGAGCAAAAAAATCTATCAACAAAGGATTTCACTTATGAGTCTGAGTACAGAGATATCCTACAGAGTCACTTGACTGAAAGAGCACAGTTTGAGAGTTTTGATGGTAACATTTGCTTTTGGGGGATTATTTAATGTAGTTTTTAATGTAAAACGGTATTTTGTTGAGATCTGATTTTGTTTAGGAAAACCATAATACTGTTTGGGTTTTAGTGTGAGCTGTCGCAAATGTCAATTTTCAGTAGAGAATTGTGTCAGAGCAACTAAAAAATAAAAAAAAACTGTAAGGCTTTAGCTCATGTTTAAAAACTATAGCTTTTGTCATTTCCCTCTATCTTTTCAAAGTAGCATGATGAAATTGTCTAAATTTCTGTAAAAACGTTTGCTATTATAGTGATTATTTAATTATTATTTAATTATTAGTTAATCATTGGATTTGTATAGTGCCTTTCAAAACATCTGAAGTGTTTCATTATATGTTCACTCCACACTCAGTGCCACACTGCCCTGCCTCATTGACTCCTCCGGTATGACCACAATATTTGACCTATTGATCAAATGGAGTTACATCAATTATGTGACATGTAAAGTTTTACAACAAATTCTACACAGCTTTAAATATAAAAAAACACAAAATGTTTGTATATATAATTGATATAAAGATTTATGTAATTAAAAGATGAAAGTAAAAAGAAACAAACCCAAAACATGCTTTCAATCAAATTTAGCCTGCTGATTGTACATAAAGCACCCAATTACAAGTTAACTTAGAAAATACACAGAACTGCAAATATACAGTGAGATTATTGGGCTCTCTACTGTGGTACTGTCAAAGCAGGAAATACTGACATTATCAATCACAGCATAAGATATAAGTAGCCTACTAAAACTGTCCAATGTTCCAATGAGCATGCTGAGTATAGGACATCACAATTCATAACTTGTCTTCACAAAAGTCTATTTGTTGGTGCTGCTTTCATATATATGCGTAAAAAAGGCCAACTGACCCTTAGAATAGGACAGGTTTCTTTACCATATCCTCTTTAAAAGTAAAGTACCTCCGCCTTATTGATGTTTTTTCATCTTAGAAACTTCCATTGTCCCATGGTTCTTTTTCACCAGTAGGCTGATGGCTTTCTTCAGAGCGGTCCTGGAGTCTCTGTACATCCCCCTGTGGTTCTATTAAAAATATTATTACATTTTTATTCAATTCATACAAATTAAACTGAATGGAAAATACCTTTAGTCTTCTGGTGCACTTCAGAGTCTTTCTCAACCTCTTCATCAGAATCGTCTTTGTCCATAGATGGTAAACAGGCGAGGTGGGCCTGAGCCATCTTCTGCACAACTACAATGGAAAACTCACAATTAGTATTTCATTTTCAAATTTGAGATAGGAAAAATATCAAATGATTTTTCTGACAACCATTGGAATTGTTGTTACATTTGCAATTTATGTTTCAATGATAGTCCATTTTATTTGCATCCAGAAAAATTTACAAAAAAAACAAGAATATAAGAATCACATTTCAGAACATGTTTGTACAGAGAGTTTTTATGCAGAATAAGATTTTGTTAGCAGGAATTATGGTACTTCAAAAATAGCAGTCTTTGCGATTTGCTAGTTGTGTCCATTCAAATTGTTATCATTAATCTTGCAGCCCTAATTTGATACATATGGTTAAGATTTTATTTGTAATATTCACATACATTCACACAAATTAGTTTGTTCCCTTGTTTGGGAGACTATATTGCTAGTTTCTGTTCTTTGTTATTTCTAATACTTTTTCAGATCATTTTTAAAACATGTTTTAAGTTCTTACATATAGCTGGTATTCTAATTTTATTAGTTCCATTTAGAATAATAAATGGAAATAATAAGTAGAAAAAAAGCATGAGACTAGTGTCAAATAAGATCCAATTCTACAATTAAATGTGTAAGTATAAATAAAACTATAGAAATATAGTAAACCTGTCTATATATATCTCGGCTATATACAAGAGGTGGGTAAGGAGAAACAGTGCAAAGATGAAATCACTTTTATAAGGCACATTAGTTGTATAGTTTTTGCTCTGCTTTTGTAAATGATTTTAAGAGTGTGAGAAAAGCCTCCCATGCTGCAGCTGTGTGTCCATCTCATAATCCAGGATCATCCAGGAGCACTCCACAGCTGTCTGTCTCCTAATCTCACTCTCACACCATTTACAGGGTTTTTGGGCAGTCCAAACAAGCACATGTCCACTGTCAAAGAACTGGCTATAATAAATAAATGTTGCCAATATATAATCTACTGAAATTGTAGTTTTAAGGGACGCAAAATGTGAATATTGATTAATAAAATTTATAGGAAAACTTCCCCAAAGAGTAGATTAAAATAAAATAATGAGTATCCACTCAAAACTTAACCTCAATGATGATTATAGTCAATTTTTTTCACATTTGTATTGATTTCATTGATTGATTACTGAAGTAACTTGAGCAAACCTTTGAGAGACGGTGGCTGGTAGGTGTGGGTCACTCTGGACTTCAAGACTCCATGGTCTGTCAGCACCCACTAAGGGAGAAAAATGTCACTGTTTATCAGATCACAACAACACTTACTCTTCATTGGGGATGCACCGATACAAATACTGGTATCAAATATTGCGCCAATCCAGGAAAATTTGTTAGATTGGGTATTGGTTTGGGCTTTTAACTAGATGTAAAAAGACTGTTTACTGATGTAGGTCCAGGATGTCTCATAATGTTTGAACTTTTATTCATTCAAACTAGTTCTCAAGTTACTTGCAGGATAAATAAGTTACAACATAACACAATTGGATCAAATTAGTTAACTGTGTTAACAGAAAAAAATATATCAGGTACTGGCAGATACTTAAAGCCATAGTATCAGTATCGGTATCCAAGCTGAAAAAGATGGATCGGAACAGAAGGGGTGTATGTTGTTAAGTTTTCAACAGGTGACGTTTCAAGATAGCTATGACTAGGATGAAATAAATTCTCAACTCTGGAGCTGGATTTGGCTAACTCAGAGTAAATTCTAGTGCCTCAAGCAAGAACCATGATATTGAATACGGCATCTGGACAGGATCCAGAACATCTTGATTGCAAAAACAGTGTCCAGATGACCACAGTTGAAACCTTCTCTACATAATTGTCAATTAATAATTTTATGAATAATCATTATCTGCACTATTCAGTGACTGCCAAAATGCCATGTGCAAAGAAAGGAGGTTTTTCAGCCCATTCAAGCACTGATCAAAACAATGTATGAACAGTCATTATTGGAAAAGGCTCACAACCCACAGACTCAAAATGTGCCATCTTTTTTGCAAGTAGGCATTTGACAGGAGCTGAACACCATGGATGACATCACACTCTTTAGTCCTTTCTTCCTTATACAGTTTATGGATGAAACGCATGGAGAGAAATCTAATAAACAGCAGTAAAAATGAGCGCCAAGTGGAGATGTACCTGCTGTGGGTCTTCCTCTGGTGAAGGCGGGTCTGTTAATCTAAAGAGAGTGGCAGGAGTGGGCCTCCGACGACGAATCTTGGAGACAAATAAACAATACTGTTATACAAGTATTTGTCTTCTCTATCCTTACATGTTACCACGAGTAGTCTGTCACCTTTGGTTCTCACTCAATACCCTCTCATGTATTTATCACATTTTTTCAGGTTCATGCAAAACATTTACACTAGGATGAAAAAGAATTCCCACAAGAAGATGGGAATAATACAATATTATACGATATAAAAACAATACGATATAAAAACAATATTTTTTTTCTGTAACAATTTGATCTAATGACACAAGATCTTGACCCATCTATAATTTCTGCTTGTTTTATTTTCACTACAGCAGTAGAACGATCAGCCACCTCAGCCTCTCCATTTCCTGAGTCACCACCATCTAAGTCTAAGTCCTAAATGTATCAAATACCAATTGTTTGTTCTTTACATAACAGTAATATAACACATTTGTTTGTGTCCGTTCACGGTTGAAACACTACAAACTACTGTAGCTCTAACAGAATAATTTTAGTTGAATCAAAATTATAATAGTGTCCCATGTTAGGAATGCAGTTGCCATGAAGTCTTCAAACATTGAAACCATGTTTTGAATTACATTATTACATTCTAAAGTCAATTCTAGTCTCAGTTCAATACAATTAAATTAAATAAGGCAGCCCTAACCATCTCTAGTCCATTGTTTAACACTATAGCTGCTCTGGTCATCAATGTGTTTGTAATATGTTTGTGCTTGTTATAATCTCTAGAGGATTACCTTTGGGTGAACAGTTATTATGTAACCTTGATAACGATGTTATTTGTGATTGTATTTTTCATGGGGCTCTCCTTACAACATACTGTATGCACTGATTGAAATGTTGGTTTTATTTGTTATAACATGGGTTTGTCAGCGGCTGTGGTCCACAGTGTAGGAGAGTGCTCTTGGCTTCCTCCATGTTACAGAGGGAGGAGGAGGTGCACTGGATGGAGTTGTTTTTGTTTCATAATATACAGATTGAAATGTATTTGGATGCAATATTTTCATAATCATGTCAATTCAGTCTATACTGTTTTCGCATTTACTGAAAGGTTCACTATGCAACTTTTTTGGTAGAGGGCTTGCCAATTGCTTGTTTCCATGGAGATGCATCTTATATAAGTTTAATACCATATTGTGAAACATTACAGGCAAAGCAACATCATCTGCATAGTGGCGGAACCCCAGCATGAAAGTTACGCAGTTCATTTGATGGACATTTGATTACATTTTTTTTAATTGATCATCAAGAGAATTAACGATCGATTTTTGATTAATCGTTCGTTAATCAAATGTTTTTATATTAAAATGACCATCATTATTATTACTATTACAAATCTGCATAAATAAACTCAACTTCACAACATATAAACCATAACCACTCTAGAGCCACATCAGCCCGTTTGAGATTATAATGTATTTAATGCAGCTTTGCGCACATTTGTTTACGTCTTACAGAAACAAAACTTAAAACCACATGGCTCATTTGCATAAACTATTAGCTGCTCTTAGCTCCCAGCGCAGCTCTTTATTTAACAGTCATTTCACTCACTTTATTTATGTCGGTCACTTTATTTATTAGGGCTACTGTTGTGATGAAAAGACTGAAAAGTGTTTGTCTTTTGGACGCACGTGCATTCAACTTTATGTTGCAGTAACCGGGATACTGCGTATACATGCACCATGACGAAACTGGGATACTCAAAAATATTTGATCACCCTGGACACTGATGTGCTGTAAACACACTCACTGAGTGGTGCAGTGATCTCTAAGGAGATGCCAGAGCCTAAATGTGGGACTGTGAGGCCACAACTCCAGTGTTACGTCTCCTTACGCTACACTACACACACCAACCTACATTCTGTTTTTCAGTTAAAAATTAATGTGAGTGATGAAATTCTTAATGATCAATTATCAATTAGTCGAATAATCATGCCCATCTCTACAGTGCACCTTTAACTTTGTGAATAAAGCAGGTCACATCTTGGATCAATGGTCATCTTTTACTTTAGACAGTATGAATGGAGGACTTCGCTGTTTATACGGTTTTATTTTTGTTGCCACTAATAGTAAAAATTGACACAAATTTGAAAGATATCTGAAAATACACTGCCATGGGTAAAAATGCCCTCTATATTAATGGTTGCTTGTTAAAAATCTTTCACAGGAAAGTAACACAATTTCCATAAAACTAACAATGTTGCTTGATTCCTGTTGGAGCACTGTGTGGGTGTTACTGTATGCATAAATTGTAAACATGCCTTAAAGGTGCTCTGTGCAACCTTTCTGGTACAAGGTCGGCCACCTGCTTGTCTCCCTCATGATACGTAGGTTTAATCTATATTTTGGGACATTCTAGACAAAGCAATAATATTTTCATGGAGACAAGAGGACCCTCCACTAGAGTGCACCTTTAGATTGTCTATATTTCTCATTTACATTTTTTTCTTTTTTTGCCTCTGTGAAAAAAATTCTCTTTTTGTGGTTAGTGCAGAACAAAACAACTCAACTACAGTTATCAAATGTTGTTTTATTATTAAAAAGCCGACTTTATGCTGTTTTCTAATTTATGTTATAATGTTGTTTCCTCACCAAAAACATACCTGGAGTTGTGTTTTGTTTCATTCACAAATGTTTAACACACAAACACTGTATATTTAGGCTGCTCTCAAACAGAAAACACTTTGTTCCACTTTGTGATGTCATGTGGTAATACAGGAAGTGTTCCACTCTATTTTTAAACTCCATACGACTTCACTAGAATCATTTGGATAATTTCAGCCCTGGAATTGACACTGTCTACTGAACAAAATGTAAAAGGTAGCTGTGAACTCGAAAACTACAACTTCATGACATCATGTAGACAGACTATAAAGCAGGATGAGTGAAACGTGTGTGAATGACACAAACCACAACTCAAGGTATGTTTTTGATGAGGTAACAACATTCTAACATTTTGCGTAATACAGGACCTTCAAAAACTATCAGCTTGATGTTGATATTTCCTGTTGTTAAATGTGCTGGATGCTGTACATGCTTGCTACTATCTCTGTCCATGATGTGTTATGGTGATAGGATTCTTGTCGATAAGTGTCCACTCAGCCAATCCCAGCAGAGCGCGTGGGCTTTGAACGTGTGGGCGACTTCCACTCTCGTGTATCAGTCCGCAGGCAGCTCTCATAAATATTCACCACTCTGCCAATACAAGGGTCGAGATTAAAATATGAATTAAAGACATTTCATTTGAGGTTAATGCTTGTACTGGGATCGTGAATGAGGCAACATATAAACAGAATTTACAGAGGGCCAGAGGTGACGTGAAAAAAAACAGTGCAGTCTTGTACAGAGTAGAGCTAACCTTTGTTTTGTGTTGTGTTGATACAGGCTGGAGAAGGTTAAGCTCCTCTAGTGGAGAGCTGCCCACAAGCCTACTGTATGTTACTGATTATCTCATATACAAGAGCACCGATTGTTTTCAGTGTGTTCATCTTGTTTTATGCCTTACAGGAAAGATAGATAGATGGTGCACTCAGAAGTAGGGATGGGACAATTCTCAAAAAATAATCAAATCGTTCAGTTCTTGTGTTTCAATTTGATTTTGTACTGCGTTCGATTCCCATGTGTCCCTCCATGCGCACTGGGTTTTCATTTTGGCACAAACAAGAAAAGGTCAGTCTTAGGTTTAAGACAGATACAGAAAGTGAACAGCACTATAGTTCCTGCACCCACGTGATTAAATCTGACAATATAGATAGAGATAGAGATAGAGATAGAGGACCTTTAAGAGCTAAGATTTACATTTGCTGATTAATACATAATTTCACTTATGATTAGGGTTGGGTATCATTCAGAAGCTGCCGATGTAATACATACCTCGATAAATAGGCCACAAAATGATACATATCTCGATACACTGCGCTTTTGATTCGATACAACTCAATACGATACATTTCAAATCGATTTGATGCGGTTCAATAAAAAAAAAAAGGCTAAATAATGGCTGTGATACTAAAAGTCTTTGTTAAACCACTTCTTGTGCAAAGTTCATCTGAAACACAAACATTTTAATCCTCAAAACAGTGAAAATGTCAAATGTGTCGCAAAAACAAGTTTTACTTCCATGAAACAAGCAAGAAAACTCTAGCACTGCAACAAAAAAATACTCTTGGCGATATATATCGATACAGCAGCTCACGATATCGATATAGTATCATCACATTAATCTAAATGATATATCCATATTTCGGTATTTTTGCACAGTCCTACTTATGATGCCAGAGTGAGCAAGGTAAACCAGATTACAGATCTGCAGATCAACAAAACCGCACTCAAATGGTTAAACAGCAAATTCTACCATATAATTCTGACCTGTCCTCCAGCTCCATTTGAAACACTACAATGTTCTCTATACTCCACAGTACTGCCACCCATATACACGAAAATACTATTAAATTGAGTCAAGCTTGGATTAAAAATAAGGCCATATCCCAATTACAAAACACAAGTGAAAGTAAAGGGACATCTGGACTGAACCAGGTGCCAAATGTAATGTGCAGTTTAAGCTGTTCTATTGAAAAACTAAATCCTACGACTAAACTAAAGTGTACCCTGTGTATGTGCATGTGTATGTATGTTAATCCAAAATAGTTAATACTGAGATGAAATGATGATACAATTGGATAATTTTAAATGGTCTATATTACACGATTTTCTGTGTTAGTTTCTGTCATAATGCTCATCCTCATCAAAAACATAGCTGTATTGATTTCATTCACATGTTTAACACACAAATTCTGCATATTTAGACTAAGTTCTTCTCCCAAACAGAAAACTGCTCCGCCTTGTGATGTCATGTTGTAATACAGGCAGTGCTCCACTGTGTTTTTAAAGTCCACACACTTTCATTAGAGGAATTTGGATAATGTCAGACCTGCAATTGCTAATCTGTACTGAACTAAAGGTAAAATGTAATTGTTAAATTGAAAACCACTACATGATA